TTGATGTAAACCACACCCACTTCCAGTCAAACCACGCCTACTTCGGGTTATGCCACGCCCATTCCGAGTACAGACACAGATAATTTAGTTGGTTGAACAGATACAGATACAGATAGTGGTGTACTCGCTCATCCCTAGAGGTGTCACGTCTGGGTGGCCATTTCTTGACCCACGACATGCTGAATCCAAACACGGAGAGCAGGAATGTAAGTAAAAGGTTTTATTTACTACATAAGGAGAAAGTAAGAGACGGGAACCGACGAGATGCAGGACTGGCAGCAGGAATCCAGGAGAGATTCTAAGGAGGGAGACAGAGTGAATATAAGGCGCAACCCAATGGGAACTTATCTGAGAGCTGGTCTTACTGTTACTTGGTAGTGGTAATTGCACGGGAAGGATTGTCGGGTCCGGGTGAGCTGAGGGGATCCAAAGGTGAGGTATTGGTTGTCCAGAGGTGGAGGAGCAGGAATGGATGTTGGTTGGTGAGCGGCTGAGAGCGGGCGGCCAGGGGATGAAGCAGTGCGCCAGGTAGACTGAGATCCGGGCTTGTTCTGGAGCGTTCTGGAGCTGATGATGAATTGAGAGGAACCTGGAGGAGAACAGGAGAGGGCATCAAGGGTTTTACTGGCTACAGGTTAACAAGAATACAAATACTAGTTTCAAGGTCAGGTTGAGGCTGAAGCTACCCAAACAGAGCAATCATCCGGCGTGGTGATGTGTCGCACTGCTCCTTAAATCCCCTGGGCCTTGATGAGGAGATCAGCTGCAGCTGGAGCTCTCAGACACGCCCACCTGTGGAAACAATGCTCAGAGGGAAAAGCCAGGTTACTTGCAGTCAGCTCACCACGGACCATGACAAGAGGAGACCCTCTGCTTTTGACAGCAATATGCGAGCTAATATAGAAAAATGGTGTTAGCCAGCAATTCAGATCTTTTGTGCCGCGTTTAGGCTGGGAGTCACAATCATTTTATTATATGACGATATTTCACTTAATCTTTCACTGGAATGTCGTCAGTTTGACTTTGATTGCAGTTTTGTAGCTAACAGTTTACACTTTTTCAGATTTAATGTTAATCCAGGGTTAGGGCTAACTAACCCTTGAGAATGAAAGGATTTTATTGATTCCAACAGAAAGCATTTCTTTATTTTTAGAAATAAAACTGTGTCATCAGCAAACTGGCTAATTTTAAATCCTCTATCTAAGATATGGATGCCTTCGAGGTCTGGGGAATTTTGTTTGTAGTAACTCCACTGCAGTAATACGTAACAGTGGGCTACAGACAGCCCTGGCAAATCCAACGATTTCTAGCAAACCTATTTGAAATACCTAGATTGCTCGTTAGATCTCAGTACAGCATCCTCCTCACGTTACAGAATTTGGGTCCAAAACCAAACATTTCCAGAGCCTTGAAGAAAAAAGGGTGTTTAAGAGAGTCAAATGCCTTAAAAGTCGAGGAATAGAATAAGACTGTCATGAGGGATAATAGAATTATAATCCAAAATATCCAAGATGAAACGATCTCGTTGTCTCTCCAAATAGAATATTTACTAAGACATCACATAACTATAGACACATTACTTGTCTTTGTGTGTGTGCGTGTGTGTGTTTGTGTGCGTGTGCGCATGTGCGTGCGCGTGTGTGTGTATGTGTGTGTCTGCTCTGTCTTCTCCATCCCCAGTGAGTCGTGGAGGATGGCTGTTTATACTGAGCCGGGATTCTCTGGAGGTTTCTTCCTGTTAAAAGGGAGTTTTCCTCTCCACTGTCAATGCATGCTTGCTTAGTATGAGGATTGCTATATAGTCACTGACACTAGTCAGTGACTTGATGCAATTTGCTGGGTTCCTTATATAGGAAACATTATTTCTGATTGGCTTAATGAACTGACCTGAATTGGAATGTTTACTATGTGAAGTGCCTTGAGACGACTCTTGTCGTGATTTGGCGCTTTATAAATAAACTTGAATTGAAATTGAATTGAATTAAAACGAGTATGATGGTGTATGTGACGCCCCGTTATGAACACTGACTGTTTCATCAATTATTTCACTTATTCCAGTTTTTAGTCTGTTGGGAAATACGGGAGCTAAAAACTTATAGTCACAGGAAAATCGTGTAATTGGTCTCCAGTTACCAAGTAATAAGTTATCCTTGTTTGGTTTTGGTATCGTTTTGTTGTTGGAGACAGCCTCTGTTTGTTATTCATTAAATACGTATACTTCTAACAACAATTCTCTAAAAAAATCCCAATTCCCCAAAAATCTGTAGAACTTGACCCATCAGGACCATTTACCACAAGCCATTTAAGAAACAGCAGCATCTAATTCAGTCAACACTATTTCAGAGCCACTGAGCTCTTAAACAATTTTCTATTTTGGGATTTTGTCCTGAACTGAGCAGATTTCTTGGTTGGAATAATCGGTAGAGTGGAGAGCTGTACAAAAATGTGTAATAAAGGTGCTTATAGCATTATGGTCTTTAATAAAATTATTACCAACATATAACTTATTTATAGTTTCATGAATTAGTTTGTTTTTTCTCTAGTTTTAGAGCGAGTAAAAGCATCTTTTGCTCTACACTGTAAAACCTGCTGAGTTGTACTTTTTGCTCATCAGAAACAGAAACAGTAGAGCATCTGTTTTAAGTCAGGGGGATTATGGCCCGACTTTTTCTGTTGGATCTCACTGAAAATCGTGTTTTTTCTGTCTTTTGGAACTACTTCACACAATATTTTAAATGTCTTAAATGCATCTTTAGAATGAATAAGAAAATATAATTTACCAAAAGATTCCTGCGGTTTTAAACCAGACTTGCACATGCAGTGTTGTTGTCTTTCTTTTTATGTCATTTTTTTTCTTTTATGTTTGTGTGGCAGTGTGAGCATCCTGTCAGTGTCCCGATTGATCATGCACCCTGGCTACTTGGCCAAGGGGATGTACCTTTGGCTGACTGGTCAGCGCGCATGACTCTCACCCGGGAGTCTGGGGACTGAATCCCGCCCGGGCCCTCGTTTCTCCACCTTGCCGCATTTGCAAAAGTAGCTCACCTCATATTTTTGTACCTGAAATTGTTATAACAAGTTCCTGACTTGCTTCGTAAATGTCGTTTTCATCAATGAAAAACACAACAGAAAACAGATCATGTGGGATTACTAGTGACTTTTCCGTCATGCCATACCTTGTGTCTGATTTCATGAACAAGCTTGATAAAAGGTGTTTTTGTTGGATAAGCACCTTCCTCAGTCGAAAAGAATGCACTGGGTGCAAATAGAGACCCATCTAAAATGGCAGCTGGGGACTACAGCAGCGCCAATAGGCAGAAGCAGCACGGGGCGTCTACGTATATATGTCTATGGTTCTCAGGCTTTATCCGGTTCGCGCATGCTCAAAGGGAATTGGTAAAAAAATAACATGCTGACGGTCTCTAGTGTGCAAGCATGTAGCAACAGTGGACAGAAAAAACTCCCTTTTAACAGGAAGAAACCTCCAGCAGAACCTGGATCAGTATGAGGACACATCTGTCACAACTCACTAGGGATTGAGAAGACAGAGCACACACGAAGGAAAAACGAAAGATGATCATCAGCAGCAGCAATGGGATCAGCCCCAAACTGCTCAAGGCTGTGCTGACCAGCTTTGTGAAGTGGTCACGCACATGTTCAACCTGAGCCGTCAGCTGGATTAGGTCCCCATCCTCTGGAAGACCTCTTCTGTAGTTCCAGTTCCCAAAACATCACATCCCAGGGATCCAGAGACCACTACAGACCTGTCGCCTTGACCTCCAATCTGATGAAGACTATGGAGAGACTCATCCTCACCCATCTACGTTCAGTGGTTGCTGAAACAGTTCGGCAGGCTCCATCTCTGGCGGTTTTTAAATCTCGTTTAAAGACCCACTTTTACACTTTGGCTTTTAGACAGTGACTCGTTTTAGTGTTTTATTGTATCATTGTTTTAATTGTGTTCTTAGTATTCATCATGGTTTATCTGCCTTTGATTGAGATTTTTATCCTCTGTTTTAGCTCCTTGTAATGATTGTGTTTTGTTTTAGCCTGTGCAGCACTTTGGGCAGCTCCCATGCTGCATTTTAAACGTGCTATATAAATAAACTATGCTATGCTATGCTAAACAGACCCACTGCGATCTGCATATAAACCATACCTGCAGCACCGGGCGCTGACTCACCTCGAGATGTGAAAGAACACTGTGAGAATCGTGTTCTTCTGCTTCTCAAGTGCCTTCAACACCATCCAGCCGTGTCTACTGCAGCAGAAGATGAGGGGTGCAGGAGTGGAAGAACATCTGACTGCATGGACCATCAACTACCTCACCAACAGGCCACAGTACGCGAGGCTGCACAACTGTGCGTCTGAGGTGGTTGTGTGCAGTTCTGGAGCTCCACAGGGTACGATGCTCTCTCCCTTTCTCTTCACCTTCTACACTTCAGACCTCACCTACAACACCAGCAGCTGTCACCTCCAGAAGTTCTCTGATGACTCGGCCATTGTCGGCTGTGTGTCTGAGGGGAATGACCTGGAGTACAGGTCAGTCATCATGGACTTGGTGAACTGGTGTGAGGGTAACCACCTTCGCTTAAACACCAGTGAGACAAAGGAAATGACTGACTTCCAGAGAAGCACTCCTCCTCACTCACCAGTAAACATCCAGGGAGCAGACATGGAGATGGTGGATACCTTTAAGTACCCAGTGTTCACCTCACCAGCACCTCCTGAGGAGGCTGAGGTCCCTATCTATCTATCTATCTATCTATCTATCTATCTATCTATCTATCTATCTATCTATATCTATCTATCTATCTATCTATCTATCTATCTATCTATCTATCTATCTATCTATCTATCTATCTATCTATCTATCTATCTATCTATCTATCTATCTATCTATCTACCTTCTCTTTTATGTGCTGATAAAACTCGAGGCTGATTATTAAACCTTAAAACGCGTTCAGGTGTTCTCAGGTGTTTCCTTTGCGGTCTCACAGGTGAGCCGAGCTGGGCCGGAGCGCAGCGGTGCTGACAGCAGCAGGAAGTGGCAGCAGACGGAGAGGAGGTGGGAAGAGCAGAGGAAGGAGCAGCAGGAGAAGTAGAAGTGAGAGGAGGAGTCTGTTTGTTGACATCGGGACGAATCCGAAATCAGATGAGTGAGGACAGCCGATAACGCCTGGTTTTGTCCCCCTCAACGAGACACCTCCTCGGGGACAGCTCAGGTAAGGTTCCGTCTGAAGAACCGGGCGGGCTGACGCCGCTGACCCGGTACCAGCCACCGGGAGCCGGTGTTGTGGTACCGCTCAGCTCTCCGGTTCTGTTAGCCTTCTTGCTAGTATCACAGCGGGGAAAGTCACAGCTAGCATCAGGCTAGTTTGGACCTTAAAACGAACCGGTACCGGTTAATAAGGCCGAACTTTTAATAAGAAGTAGTTTCGCTGAGCGTGTGGACCGGAACTTATGGTTCGGTGTGATATTTCCAGTTTGTCAGCAGATTTAAAACCTTCACGGCGAATTCTTCCAAACAAGCAGCTAGCTGTAGCTCGTTAGCCCGCTAACTTGTCAACGGTCCGTCTCTTTCTGGGTCCACCTGTGTTCACACACAAAGACAGAACCGAACCGGGCCACCGGACCCAGGCTGCAGGTAACAGGTGAGAAGTGGTTGGGTTGGCTGCAGTGGTTGTAAAGTTTATCACTAATTATCCATCTGTTCTTGTTTCCCATCAAACTCGGTCATGTCACCTTCCCAGAGTGTTGCACTCGGTGTGTTTGATCTTAAGTCAACGTTAATAATTTAAGATATTATCAGTTTATTAAGTAAATAAGGTGATTATTGCAAGTGCACCTCTTCAGATTTACTGGGCCGATACCGATTTCTCATTGCTCTCCATCTGCCTGCAGATGTAGAATTATCTCTGACAACTAAAACCACGTAATCAGGTTAAAAGTCTCACTGGTTTAAATTCTGAAAGTGGAAATAAAAACATCTGTTATAGCTCATCGCACACATGGAGAGGAGCCAGTTGAGGTGGCTCGAGCACCTGATTAGGATGCCTCCTAGACGCCTCCCTGGTGAGGTTTTTAGAGTACGTCCAACCAGGAGGAGACACAAGGGAAGACCCAGGGCACGCTGGAGGGACTATGTCTCTCACCTGGCCAGGGAACGCCTTGGGATTCCCCCGGAGGAGCTGGCCCAAGTGGCTGGGGAGAGGGAAGTCTGGGCCTCCTTGCTTAGGCTGCTGGTCCCAGATCAGCGGCAGGAGACAAACTGGTGCCTAGCAATGAGAGTTCATGGACCCCATAACTGTGGTGCGTTCACTGACCTGTAAAAATCCCATCAGGTTTATTGGACTGGTTCTGATCAGCTGATGCTTTAGCTTGTCTCTAGCTCAAGTTAAATGCTTTAAAAACGGATCCAGTCCAGGCTTCTGGCCTAGATCATGTGTTCTGGGACAGGTTGGGTTGTGCTCCAGTCTCTGGACACATCAGAGGAATGTTTGTTATTCTAAACAACAACAACAACAATAAACGTGTTCATGAAACTGCTGCTGTTGAGGGTTAGGGTTAGAAAATGATGATTTCTAGTTTCGGCGATTGGGTGTTCTTTCAGGTCCCCCTCCCCCGCTCCGTCCATCTTTAACCTGAGACCGGGATAAAGGGGCCAACATGGCCGCTAAAGCTGGAGACGACCCGGACAGCCTCATGGCTCTGGCGACGGTGTTCTGCCTCAGGAACCTGAGGAAGACCATGTGTTACCAAGGACTCAGGAACCGGCTGCTCTTGCGCTCCGACATCTTCCTGCCGAGTGAAATCTGTGACAAGCTGGTCAACACGTATGTAACAGATCACCCCCCCCCCCCCCCCACACACACACACACACACACCTGTAACCCACACCTCACACACTCGCCTGTCTTTTCTCCGTCTTCACCAGGTACGTGGAGCTGGTCCACACCGACAGTTACTTTGAACCAGAAGAGAGTTTCTTCCAGCTGTTCGCGGACCCTCGGAGCACTAGGCTGACCCGGGTTCAGCTGAGGGAGAACTTGGTTCTGGACCGAGACCTGGAGGCCATACGGAAACAGGTGGGGGTGTGATGTTGTGGCCTTTCTAGAGACAGAACCAAACGAGCAGAATAGTTTTCTGTTTGTTCTTTGAGATAAACCGGCGTCACATGATGCTGGGGCGGGGCTTATGTGTAGTTTTGGGGCCACATCCTGATGGACCGGTGAGGGGAACCTTCCCTTGGTTCAGAGATAAACGGGCTCTGTTCTTCCAGGACCTGATTGAACTCAGCCTCACCTGCTGCCACAGCCTGACGCCCCGCAGCCTGAAGACACTCACCTGTTTCCGGGAGACGTTGGTGTCTCTCTGCCTGTTCGGCTGCAGCCAGATCTTCTGTAAGAAAGTGGGACCTCCTCTGGCCTGTAACGAAGACAGCGAGGAAGAGGAGGAGGAGGACAGGTCTGCCTCCTGGCGGGTGTTAGATTTGGACTTTAGCTTCCAGGGCTTTAACCGCCTCAGGCTGCTGAACCTGGCGGGTCTACCTGAAGCAGTGAACGCTGAGCGTCTGCTCAAACCCCTCAGGTCCATCACCTCTCTGGATCTGTCCAACGTGAACTTACAGGGAGCGGCTTTCCTCTCCCAGTGGAGGGACAGGCTGGCATCTCTGGTTCTGTACAACGTGGAGCTGTCCGAGGAGCTGCTCTGCACCATACTGGAGCTGGTTAATCTCAGGTAAGGTGGGGTGGGCGGAGACTAATCTTCGTAGAGGGCATTCCTTGTTTTTCAAGCCATACTTCAGTTTTTTCCTAAAAATCCAGGAGCTTTTACGACACCGGGGTCTCACACAGGAATAAGAATTCCAAAAACCTGACAGTTGTCTTTAATTTATCCCATCTGGGAATGAAGCAAAGATGCTTCTCCTGCTCAGCGGGCCACCCCAGTGCATGCTGGTCCAGCACCAGTCCCTAGGTTTACCCACAACATGAAGTAACGGCTGCAGCAGTTCTGGTCACGGGTTCAGTTGGAGCTCTAACTCACGTCTACACTACAGTTTACAGAAGCCAGATTTCAGAAGTTAGACTTCCACACGGAGGATCCCTTCCTGCCGGTGGGAATTAGGTAGATGAGTTGAGCTCACGGACCCAGGAAAATGTCCGAATTCTGAGCTTCTGCTTCTGCTAAAGCTTTTAATTTCTAAAAAAAATGCATTTAGTTATTCAAATGTTACTGTGTGATATGAAACAAGACCCAGATCAACTAAACACCTGCAGAGCGCCCCTGAGCCTTTATATTGTCTCTGTCTCGTTGATTTACTGAAATAAATGGACTTTGCTGGACCTAGGGGACCTGCTGGGGGTGTAGGGGCTGAGAAGATCAATGTATGATGGTGCTTGTCCATGTAAGGCCCTAAAGACCTGGGGTCTCATTTATCAAACATGGCGTAGAATCCTTACTAAAACCGTACTTAAGCTCAGCAAAAAAAAAAGTACTTACGCCAAGTAGGTTTGTGATCTATCAAACATGGAGTACGCACAGCTGCACACAATCTCCGCTTCATAAATCAGAGACTAACGAGAATGTTTCTCAGCTGCTTTTTAGTCACGTCCCGCCCTCACCACTTCCACTTACTGCCATAAATGGTCAATGCAAAGTGCCTTGTGGATCTCATGCATATACGTAAGCCGGCTGTTGCCGCACTCCGCCAATGACATGGCGACCGTAGATCAAGGCAGATCAAGGAAGCACAATTTCACACAAGCAGAAGATGAGGTATCTGTGGGCGAGGTGGAGAAATGAAAGCCAGGTCCTTCGTCAACTTGAAGTTGCGCACATTTTTCCGCTAAGTTTTCTTTTATAAGTCCCAAAGTTTGCGTGGAAAGTTGCTTACGCAGTTTTCCGACCCCGTTTTGTGCGTAAGCAAGCTTGATAAATGAGGCCCCAGAACCAGGATCTTGAAATGAACCCTGAAGTTGACTGGCAGCCAGTGAAGCTGGAGGAGAGTTAATGGCTTGCCCTGTAGTCGGAAGGTTGCAGGTTCGAGCCCCGCTTAGTTTATCACTGCTGTTGTGTCCTTGGGCAAGACACTTAACCCTGCTTGGTGGTGTCTGTACGGCAGCCTCACCCCTGTCAGTGCACCCCAGGGCAAATGTAGTTCGCCGCCACCAGGGTGTGAATGACATATTGTGTTGGAAAGTTCCTTGGGGGGTTCCAGGACTCTAGAATGCGCAGCATCAAATACAGGTCATTTACCAGAACTGTCTCAAGTTCAGAGCGAGACAGAATGGGACTCAGCTTAGCAACGTTCCTGAGATGGAAGAAGGAAGAGCGAACAAGAGAACTGACATGAGAATCCAGGGTGAGAGCTGGGTCAAAGGTCACGCCAAGATTCCTGACGGAAGGTTTGGTGTGAGAAGCAAGCTGACCAAGAGAGTCTCTGACTTTGGGAACCAGCTTGTCTGGGGCACAGATGAGGATCTCAGTCTTATCTTCATTCAGCTGAAGAAAGCTCCCACCATCCAGGTTTTGATAGAGTCTAAGCAGGTGTGTAACAGCTGCAGCTTAGACATCTCATGGGGCTTAAAGGAGATGTACAGTTGGATGTCATCTGCATAAAGATGGTAGGAGATTCCTTTGAAGGAGCTCAGGAGGTGCTGAAGAGGAAGCAGATAGAGGAGGAAGAGCAGAGGCCCCAGCAAAGAACCTTGTGGGACACCATGGGTGAGGGAGGTGGTGGAGGACCTAAACTTGGAGACGGCCACAGAAAAGGAACACTCAGAAAGATAAGAGGAGAACCACTCCAGAGCAGATCCTGATAGGCCTACCCAGTCTCTCAGCCTCTCCAGTAGCAGGTGATGGTCAACAGTGTCAAAGGCTGCAGTCAGGTCCAGCAGGACCAGAACAGAACAGTCCCCTGCATCACTGTGAGTCAGAAGGTCATTAGAGACCCTAAGAAGAGCTGTTTCAGTAGAATGAGCTCTACGAAAACCTGACTGGAAGCTATCATAGATGTTATGTTCATCAAGAGCAGCTGTGAGTTGTTTAGCCACAACCTTTGGAGACGAAAGAATTCCCACTTCCTTTGCATCCGTTAAACTTCCAGCATCTTTAGGACTCAACAGGACCATAAAAGAAACCTGGCATGTAAGACGATACCTCAGACCAGCCAGAGCTTTCACTTACTGAATAAAAGTTAGAGTAAATCCATTCATGGTGGATCTGATTTGATTTGATCACGTCTCTTATCCAGACACGCTCAGCAGCTACAAACGCGTTGGAGCTTCCAAAATGTCTGACATTCTCCAGGAATGTTGAATTCCTCCCAGGAGTGTTGGGGCCTCTCTCCTGTCACTCCAGATGTTCAGGGTGACAGATGTACTCTAAAATCCCTGTTTAGAAATGCGAGATGACTTTGGGAGGAGTTGGAGAGCAGATTGGGAATGAAACAAGACCTAGTTAAGACGCCTTGTGAACAATATCAACTGTGTCGGACTGAAACTTACCTTCCTCATCTATCCCTAAAACAATCATGGATCCTCCAGCGATCAAACATTCCCAAAAGCGATGTGGAGAGCATCCTCCTCTCCTGGTGGTTTAGAAGGTTCAGGCGTCTGATACCACGGCAGTGGAACAGTCATTCTTGGGTTTGGATCTCAGCTGGAAACAAAGTTTAGGCCCAGTTCTGTGGTTTTAATCTGGATTGTTGATTTGAACTTGGAAACGAGATTAAACCGAGTTAGCTTCCTGCATGCTTCACTTCTTTCCTTAATCGGGTCAGAACTCCCAACAGGATGCTTTTGGAACCCAGTCAGAACCAGTCAGAACCCCTCTGATCCAGATCTGTAAACATCTTTCTCCTCTTCAGGCATCTGGACATTTCTCGAGAAGGCAGGAAGTCGACCAAGTTCCAGATGAGCCGTAAAATCCTAACAGCTGTTGTCCAGCGACTCGTTCATCTGGTTTCTCTGGACATCTCAGGTCTTGTGATGCTGGACAACTGCACTGTGCCACACTTTGAGGAAGCCATGGGACGTCCGAGGTTACTGCCTGCCTGGGGGGAGGAGGGAGGGGCTTGGGGGGGAGGAGGGAGGAGATCTGATAATCTTGTTTGTGTTTCAGCACGGAGCCGAGTAAGAGCAGCATCATCCCATTCCAAGAGCTGAAGAGGCCGCTGCAGTTCTTGGGTCTGTACGACACCACGCTGTGCAACGTGACCCACATCCCAGCCTACAAGGTACGTGCCGCGGCGGCGCCACCTGGGCATGGTGTCGCCTCGTCATGACTACCCCACCCCCCACCCCCCAACCCACCACATACACACACACACTCTCTCTCTACAGACTAACCTCTACCCCTGGAACAGGATGCCTCACCAGCATTCATCCTTTCATCCCAGAGACCCAAGGGCACTTTAACCTCCTTTGTGATTTTTTTTGTTTATTAATGATGTAAACGTTGGATCAGCTGTTGCTGCTGAGTTACGGTTTTATTTATTTCGTTGGTCAGAGCAGAAGAAAACACCTGAGAGTGAAACAAAAAGTAAAACTTTTACCAATCACCATGGTAACAGGGCCTGAAACTGGTCCTCAGTCAGATCACCGTGGTAACGGGGCCTGAAACTGGTCCTCAGTCAGATCACCGTGGTAACAGGGCCTGAAACTGGTCCTCAGTCAGATCACCGTGGTAACGAGGCCTGAAACTGGTCCTCAGTCAGATCACCGTGGTAACGGGGCCTGAAACTGGTCCTCAGTCAGATCACCGTGGTAACGGGGCCTGAAACTGGTCCTCAGTCAGATCACCGTGGTAACGGGGCCTGAAACTGGTCCTCAGTCAGATCACCGTGGTAACGGGGCCTGAAACTGGTCCTCGGTCAGATCACCGTGGTAACGGGGCCTGAAACTGGTCCTCGGTCAGATCACCGTGGTAACGGGGCCTGAAACTGGTCCTCGGTCAGATCACCGTGGTAACGGGGCCTGAAACTGGTCCTCGGTCAGATCACCGTGGTAACGGGGCCTGAAACTGGTCCTCGGTCAGATCACCGTGGTAACGGGGCCTGAAACTGGTCCTCGGTCAGATCACCGTGGTAACGGGGCCTGAAACTGGTCCTCAGTCAGATCACCATGGTAACGGGGCCTGATCTCCTCTCCTGTTTGGGGCTTAAAGTGGGCCGGCTCTCCGGTTCTGTTTAGGTTCTGGCTCCTTGGCGTCAGGCGGAGCTCAGACCAGCGACACATTTAATTATCACCTGTAATAAATCAGAACCAGAATCTTTGAGCGGGTTTAGTGCTTTGATAAAGTTTTGGACCGAAGTCGTGAGTTTTCTGCTGCTCAGTTCAGATAGACACGCCCCTCTTCTGAAGCCGTGCTCTGATTTGTTGTAGCCATCAGTAATTTTTCTTCACTACACCTTTTCTTCTGTGGACCCTTCAGGTGACTGGGTCCAAGAATGAAGACCAGGTCCTGAACGCCATTGAGGCCTACACGGAGTTCCGCCC